AAAAATGTGAACTCGCATCCACGGCAATCACATGCCGTTTTATCAGCAGTGCCTTGAACCATGGTTGTCGTGACCAACAGGAACAGTGTAACTCTAGCGTAACAACGAAGCTTCTATGATGGAGCTGGCAGCAGACGATTCTCCCATACAGACAAAGAAACATGCAAACATAGATTTCTGTTTCCTCTGGTATTAATGTCCACTTCTTTTCCACCTTCAGTAGTACACTGCAGTGACGATGATCCCTGAACTGGAGCAGTGGGTCCAGAGGAACAGCATCCTCGCAATGGAAGGAGATCGCTTCAGCATCTGGCAGCTCAAGACGAGGGTCGAGCACGAGGACACGGAGAACAAGGTGCGCATGCTCGCCATCGGTCAAGAGAAACAGCTGGAGGTGAAGTCCGTGTTGCTGCTGGGGGAGACGGGCGCCGGGAAGACCCTCTTCCTCAACGCCTTCCTCAACAGGCTGTTTGGTGTCACTGTGGAAGACAAGACTCGGCTGCAGCTGAAAGACCAGATGGACAGAGAGGACAAGAAGACCACACAGAGCCAGACGGACTACACCACGGCCTACATCATCTACCACCAAGAAGGCATGTCTGGCCCCTACAATTACATGGTCATTGACACACCAGGCCTGGGCGATACGGAGGGTGCGGAGAAAGACAGAATCAATGAGCAGTGTCTAAGGTTTTACCTGACTGATGAAAAGTGGATTAGTCACATCAACTGCGTCGGATTGGTCTGGAAGGGAACCGATCACAGATATGACGAAATGAAGAGAGAAATACTCAGTCGAATCAAGCAACTCCTGGGCTTCGACATCAAGCGTTTCACAGATGTATTGCTTACATTTACAACAGATGAAGAAGTGGATGCAGTTAAAGTTGTAGAGGCATCAGGGATAGAATACAACCAAGTGTTTAACTTTGATAACAAGCCTCTCTATGCTGTGAGGACAAAAGATAAGTTGCACAAGCTGATGTGGGGTTTAATGGAAGAAAGTCATGATTCGTTTCTAAAAGAAATCAATAGGAGAGAGGGCGTCAGCCTCAAAATTACTGCCAGATTAATCCTCACTCATATGAAACTAGAAGACTTACAGCGTCGACAGCGAACGCAAAGGCAGCACAAAGCAAATATCTCGTCTATTGTCGAACAGTACGAAGGCGAAATGCGTGACCTCGAGGAGGAAGCAACAAGGGTCGACTGGGACAAGATTGAGGATCTAGACACAAGCAATGAAATCATAGTCCTTGAAGACGGACGCCACTGCCACTACTGCACAAAGTGTAGCAAGACATGCATTCCTGCCTGTGAAACCGTTCACAAGGCTACAGTTGCTCCAGTACAGGAAGGGGAAGGTGTAGGCGAGATGGTACTAGGGGTTGTTGGGAAAGTTGGTATGATTGGATCAATACTTGGCCATTACAGTTTGCTGGTGGGGTTAGCCTCTGCTGCAGTTTCAATATGCACCGACATTGCGAGGGCAATCATGAGTCGCATTCGAACCAAGAAATCAAAAGAAAAAACAGAGAGCTTGCACGCCAGTGAGGGCATAAATAAGTGCCCTAAGTGTGACCATTTTATAATTCATCATGAAGTCAGAGACAAGATCATGGCCAAAGATGCTACTTGGGACCAGAAAGTGAATCTGCTCAAGGAAATAAAGTATGAAGAGGTCATGGGGGGAAAATCTAGAATTGAGGCAAATATTCTATCATGCAATGCAAAGCTAGCGTCAATAAGCAAGCAAGAGAAACACGATGATGGCATGCAGAAAAACTATGAAAGAGAAATTAACGAGCTCAGGTTGGGAAAGTAAATTGCAAAATAGTCTCCTTTGTTCTCGATTCGAGATTTTTCATTATTTCGCCAGTGTGCTAATCTGATTATGGCTCAATTACTGCATCGACTTTGCTAATTCACGCTTTAACATTAGTTTGTTTTTTGAAGCTGCCGGCCGATTCAGTTATCCATTTTTGCTTTCATTTCCTTTTGTTACACATATGTATGTAATTAGGATAATGTTTTTACTCTGCACGTTTTATGTGATTTGTTCTTGGACTGGGATTGAAGCCATGGGCCTAATTATGGTTGTATTCTCTCTCTTATTGACGTAAAGGTCTTTTTGATGTTCAATTGCCTTTGAATTACATCCATACCTAATCGGCTGCTAATGTGAAGTAAAAGGGAAGAAAAATGTAAAAAATGTTGAAATTATATGGTAGCGACCATAGAATGCTTAGAGGCAAAACCAGATTACATCTCAAAAGCCTGAAGACCAAGACGACATCCAAAACAGGCACTTACTCCTCAACGACGAAGATCTTAACGTTGATTGAATCAACAAACAGTTCAATGATATGATGGGAGAAGCTGCACTTGAAGTAAGTGGCAAATACAAGTAACACACACACACAGACACACACACACACGCACACACACACACACACACACACACACACACACGCACGCACGCACGCACAGGAAGCTCTCAGACGAAAGAATTACCGACCTGTAAGCCTCCTATCAACTATCTTAACTCTTCACAAAAGTCATCACAACTTACGTCTCTAACATTCCAGATTCTAACCGCAGTGCATTCTCAACAACAGACCACATCCACACACTAACCCAAATAAGAGAAAATATATGAATACCTTTTTGTATGAAATTCGTCGATTACGAAATGGCATTTGACTCACTGCAAGTAACTGCAGTATAGGAAGCTATTCGAAAGCAAAGAGATGGGACAGCAACTTTCAGGCCTCATACAGGCACTAATGACATTTGAGGAAGAAAATGGTATTCTTCCCACACCTTTTCCCGGAATGGAAAATTTCATGGCATTTTGCGGCAACAACCTAAAATAAGGTGAAATGCGCAAGTGCTAATTGGTAACTCCCCTGCAGCTGCATTTCCTGCATCGCCCGGAGAAGCCAAACAATCTTTGGAATCTGAAAGGGTGAAGCTAAATTTCAAAAAGGTTTGCAAGGCCGAGAAAAGGTAGGAGAAAAATACCTCATATGTCTTTCAGAAGCTGCTTATCACCTGTAGAAACATAGGGCGGGGCTAAAAAATTGGAATATTTTAATCTCAACATTGTAAATATCCAATAAAGAAAAATTAAAACCTGCAAACCGTCGTACAGCAATTCAGAACATTACATGTATATAGTAATTCAAATTACAGCTAAAAAGAAAGAAAGAAAAATAATTGTTGCCAGACAGAAAAAAACATGTATATATATACACATATACATAAATACACACACACTCACACAAACACACACACACACACA